CACGCCCGACCTCGCGCCTTCACAGCGCTGGCCGAGCAGGGGCTTTCCCCTCGCCGGCCTCACGTTCCCGCTCCGCACAGGGGCCTACTCCGCAGGGGCGCGGGGAGAACACCTCGTCCCTCGTCCGTCTCCACCCGCCGGGCAGCGTCCCCCACCGGCTCGGCCCGGGCGGCACCGCGCGGGGCCACAGCGGGGTCCCCGTCTCCGCCCCGGCGACCGAGGACTCGGGCGGCGCGTGGGGTCAGACCATAACGAGTCCATTCCGCCAGGCTTCGGAAAGGTTGGGGAGACTCGTCCCCTGGCCCCGGACAACTCTGAGGTCTCACGACACGATTCGCTCTCAGGGCTCTCACGCGACGGCGCCTCGGGTCCCCAGCGAACCCTCCCCCGGCGGCGACACCCCGGAGCCCGCGCTCACCTCCGCCACGGCTCCGCGGCCAGCTGCCCCGAGGCCAGCTGCCCCGAGGCGCGCCGGTCGCAGCGGGATGGCGTCACGCCGCACGCACGGGCTCCGCCCCCACGCCGGCCCCTCCCGGGCCGCGGGCCTACGTCGCAGTGCGCGCGTCGAAGGCAGGACCCCGCCCACTCTCCCTTAAAGGGGCCCGCGGCGGGGCGCACGTGCCCCGCGAGCGGACGGCGGCGCGGGAGGCTGCGGACCGGTGTTTTTTCCTTCTTTTATTTTCTGTCCTTTTCTTCCCTTTCACGGAGGCTCGCTCTGTCGCCCGGGCTGCTTTTCTCTTTCTTTTGTTGACTTGGAATCTCGCTCTGTCCCCAGGCTGGAGTGCAGGGGCGCGATCTCGGCTCCCTGCAGCCTCCGCCTCCCGGGTTCAAGCGATTCTCCCGCCTCAGCCTCCCGAGTAGCCGGGACCACAGGCGCGCGCCGCCACCACGCCCGGCTAATTGTGTATTTTTCTATTTTTTTTTGGAGACGGAGTTTCGCTCTTGTCACCCAGGCTGGAGTGCAATGGCGCGATCTCGGCTCACCGCAGCCTCCGCCTCCTGGGTTCAGGCAATTCTCCTGCCTCAGCCTCCTGAGTAGCTGGGATTACAGGCACGCGCCACCATGCCCAGATAATTTTTGTATTTTTAGTAGAGACGGGGTTTCACCATGTTGACAAGGATGGTCTCCATCTCTTGACCTCGTGATCCACCCGCCTCGGCCTCCCAAAGTGCTGGGATTACAGGCTTGAGCCACCGCGCCCGGCTGTGTTTTCATTTTTTAAAGTCTTTAAATAATTTCAGCTTTGACTCAGGGTCTATAAAGTCCAGTCCTTTCTCAGGGAGAAGAAATCAGGGAGCTCTTAAGCCAGGGTCAAGTTAGAATAAAGGTGAAAAAGCCAAGAGGGCTACACTCCTAACTTAACCTTATGGCTTCTTCAGCCATGCCTGAGAAGACAGATGAAACCTGAAAAACTGAGAAACTGAAGTGTCTCTATACTTGCAGCTATTCATGGTTTATGATGGTTTCCATTTAGAATGCTTTAAACATCAAACGTGGGGCTGGGCACAGTGGCTCACACCTGTAATCTCAGCGTTTTGGGAGGCTGAGGCAGGTGCATCACCTGAGGTTAGGAATTCGAGACCAGCCTGACCACCATAGTGAAAGCCCAACTCTACTAAAAACACAAAAATGAGCCAGGGCATGGTGGTGCGCACCTGTAGTCCCAGCTACTGAGGAGGCTGAGAGAATTGCTTGAACCCAGGAGGCGGAGGTTGCAGTGAGCCAAGAATGCGCAGCTGCTGTCCAGCCTGGGCGACAGAGCCTGACTCCATCTCAAACAAACAAAAACATCAAATGTGACTTCGTCCAACAAGGCAGCAATCATGAAAATTAAATGAAATCACCTTAGATTCTGATACATTACACTTTGGATATCTGTCCCTTCCAATCTCAGGCTGAAATGTGATCCCAGTGTTGGAGGTGGGGCCTGGTGGGCGGTGTTTGGGCCATGGGGGCGGAGCCGTCCCAAACGGCTTGGTGTCCTCCCTGTGTCACTCAATGAGTTCTTGCTCTGGTAGTTCATGCGAGAGCTGAGGGTTTAGCAGCTGGCAACCTCCCCCGTGTCTCTCCTGCCACTGTCCTCCGTGTAATATGCTGGCTCCCATTCACCTTCTGCCATAACTGGAAGTTTTCTGAGGCCGTTCACAGAAGCGGACACCAGCACCATGCTTCCTGGACTGCCTGCAGAACTGTGAGACAAATAAAGCTTCTTTTCTTTATAAACTACCTAGTTTCAGATATTCCCTTAGAGCAATGCAAACAAACTAATATGAATTCTTTTTGAAAAAAAGTGGTACAGATATATATATATATTACATATATATATATATATATATATATATTTTTTTTTTTTGAGATGGAGTCTCGCTCTATTGTCCAGGCTGGAATGCAGTGGTACAATCTCAGCTCACTGCAACCTTTATCTCCCAGGTTCAAGTGATTCTCCTGTCTCAGCCTCCCAAGTAGCTGGGATTACAGGCGCATGCCACAACGCTCAGCTACTTTTTGTATTTTTAGTAGAGACGGAGTCTCACCATGTTGGCCAGGATGGTCTCAAACTCCTGACCTTAAGTAATCCACCTGCCTTGGCCTCCCAAAGTGCTGGATTAGGCAAGAGCCACAGCACCCAGCCCAGATATATATTTCAATAAATAAAATAAGTGATAAAGCCAATTAGACGACTTTTTTTTTTGAACCAGAGTCTTGCTCTGTCACCAGGCACCAGGCTGTAGTACAGTGGCACAATCTTGGCTCACTGCAACCTCTGCCTCCTGGGTTCATGCAATTCTGTCTCAGTCTCCCGAGTAGCTGGGACTACAGGTGCGTGCCACCACGCCCAGCTAATTTTTGCATTTTTTAGTAGAGACGGGGTTTCACCCCGTTGGCCAGGATGGTCTCGATCTCTTGACCTTGTGATCCGCCCGTCTCGGCCTTCCAAAGTGCTAGAATTACAGGCATGAGCCACCGCGCCCGACCTAAGTTCTTTAGGTGTTTACATAACTGAGCTCTCCAATTCCCACTGCCAACATGGCACCATGGCTCATCTGCAGCTACGGCTCCTCACTCCTGCATCTTCCACAGTGGTATGGGATAGCATGGGGATTCTTAGCCTCTGTCATTATCTTACGAACACCCAAAACTTCTACACTACAAACACAGAAGAAACAATTTTAACTGAAAAAATCTATGCTTGCCACAGGGAAATGTAAAATGGAAACAAAACAGAAAAGCAGACTTCTCTGAATCAGCATTTCAAAGTTCATCGACAGACGCTCAAGTCTCCTTCAAGGCTTTTATCAAAGTGATCCTCGGATTCGCAGGAAGAAAGCAATGCCAGATTGCAAATAGAACCCTCACAGAATATCGCCACAAACCAACACAGTCACTCAAACAGCGGCTACACGATTTTGGGTGGTACAACAATGAATATTTTTAATTTCAGAGTTATGTATCTATTTTGATGAAAAGTAGAATAATTAGCAGATAAAACTAGCATATAACTTACTAGTTTTATATGCCAAATACTATTTCCTAGAAGGTGAATAATCTTGGATCCCTTTATAAAGAATAAGTAAATACTATATATGGTAAAAACTGTAAAGAAAGCATACAAATAACTGATATTACTGAAATACTTTTTTTTTTTTTTTTGAGACGGAGTTTCGCTCTTGTTGCCCAGGCTGGAGTGCAATGGCGCGATCTCCGCTCACCGCAACCTCCGCCTCCTGGGTTCAGGCAATTCTCCTGCCTCAGCCTCCTGAGTAGCTGGGATTACAGGCACGCGCCACCATGCCCAGCTGATTTTTTTGTATTTTTAGTAGAGACGGGGTTTCGCCATGTTGACCAGGATGGTCTCGATCTCTTGACCTTGTGATCCACCCACCTCGGCCTCCCAAAGTGCTGGGATTACAGGCGTGAGCCACCGCGCCCAGCCGAAATATTGCTCTTTTATGTTTATTTCAAGTTAATGTGACTGGCTGCACTACAGAATTGCCTTTACTTTTAAATTTTATTTATTTATTTAGAGGCAGAGTCTCAGTCTGTCGCTGAGGCTGGAGTGCCGTGGTGTGATCCTGGCATTCTGTAACGTCCCCTCCCAGGTCAAACCATTCTCCTGCCTCAGCCTCCTCAGTAGCTAGGACTAAAGGCGTGTGCCACCACAACCGGTTAATTTTTGAATTTTTAGTAGAGATGGGATTTCACCATGTTGGCCAGGCTGGTCTTAAACTCCTGACCTCAGGTCATCACACACCTTCGCCTGCTAAAGTGCTGGGATTACAGGCGTGAGCAATCACGTACAGCCAGCACTGCCTTTAATTAATAAAAATTTCTGATTTAAAAGTTTTACACCATAAAACTTACAGGTGAGTAATTACAGTAATTACAGGTTGTTGCCTACAGGATTTTTCTTTTCTTTTCTTTTCTTTTTTTTTGAGACAGAGTCTTGCTCTGTTGCCCAGGCTGGAGTGCAGTGGTGTGATCTCAGCTCACTGCAACCTCCGCCTCCCACGTTCAAACCATTTTCATGCCTCACCATGCCTGGATAAGGATTTCTGATTTTTTAAAAAGTTTTATATCAGATTTGGAACATGACTCCAAATATAATCTCATTTGTAAAATAAATTACTTTCCCTTCTATAATCCCTCCCGGGAATGTAATACGCTGCTAGTTTAAGGTTTAAATTAATTTGGTTTCTATGCATTGAAAGTTTATGGCCAGGCGCAGTGGCTCATGCCTGTAATCCCAGCACTTTGGGAGGCCGAGGTGGGTAAATCACCTGAGGTTAGGCGTTCGAGACCAGCCTGGCCAACAAGGTGAAACAGTGTCTCTACTAAAAATACAAAAAATTATTCAGGCATGGTGGCGTGTGCCTGTGGCCCCAGCTGCTCAGGAGGCTGAGGCAGGACAACTGCTTGAACCCAGGAGGCGGAGGTTGCAGTAAGCTGAGATCATGCCACTGTACTGCAGCCATGGTAGAGTGAGAGTCTGTTTAAAAAAAAAAAAAGTTTATATATAAGGTTTCTCTCCACTATGAATAATTTGATATTGAATGGGATAAAAATGTCTGACCAAAAATTTCCCACATTTATGTATTTCCATGCTTTCCCCCACCATGGTTTCCCATATTTATATATTTCCATGCTTTCCCCCACCATGACTTTCCCACATTTACGTATTTCCATGATTTCCCCCACCATGAGTTTCCCACATTTACGTATTTCCATGATTTCCCCCACCATGAGTTTCCCACATTTACGTATTTCCATGCTTTCCCCCACCATGGTTTCCCACATTTATGTATTTCCATGCTTTCCCCCACCATGAGTTACGTGCTGTGAAGCGGAGGACTGTGGCTTAAGGTTTGCTCACAGTTATATTCACATAATTTCTCCCGAGTATGGATCTTCCTGTGTTGATTAAGGTGTGCGCTCTGGCTAAAGGCTTTCCCACATTCATGACATTTATAGGGTTTCTCTCCTGTATGAGTTCTTTCGTGCTGATTCAGATGTGTCCTCTGGCTGAAGGCTTTGCCACAGAAACGGCATTCGTAAGGTTTCTCTCCAGTGTGAAGTCTGTGATGTTCAGTAAGGGACGTGATACGGCTAAAGGCTTTCCCACACTGATCACACTTATAGGGCTTTTCTCCCGTATGAATCCTCAGATGCTGAGTGAAGGATGAATGCTGACGGAAGGCTTTCCCACATCCGTTGCATATGAAGGGCTTTTCGCCCGTGTGAATTCTCTGGTGTTGAATGAGATGTATCCTCTGGCTGAATCTTTTTTCACATTCATCACACTTATAGGGCTTCTCTCCTGTAAGCGCCATCTGAGGCTGGGAAAGAGATGAGGTGTGGCTGAAGGCCTTCCCGTACTCCCTGGGTTTCTCTGCAGTACGAATATGATCAGTAAGAAGGATATGTTGATTGAAGATTTTTCCACACTCATTGTATTTGTAGGGAGTCTCTCTTGAATAATTTCCCTGATAGTAAATCAAGTCTGAATTATCTTGGATGCTGTTTCCCTGTCGGTCAGACTTCAGGGGTATTTTAATGGAAGGAATTCTCCGATGCCTAAGGGTTGAGTTCAGATTACAGTTTTCTGCAAACTTGTTACACTCAAGGTTTCTCTGCTGTGTGATCTTTTTATGTGTCAAAGTTAATTGTCCTAAATATCTCTGCTGGTCTTCTTGGTTAAACTCTGGATGGTAATCAAAATCCCAGAGTCCTCCTAGGATGGAGTACCAGAAGCTGTCTCCTGTGAGTCTCTCCATTATCATCTCCTGGGTTTGATGTTCGTGAGAAATATTCTGGCTTGCGGTTGACTTTTTGATTTCGGGTCTGTTTTCTCCATCTAAAACAAATTCAAAACATACAAATACTTTCCAATATTCTCATGTTCTCCATGCTTTCAAAAAGAAGAGTAAAAGAAATTGTTGCACATCAAATTACCAAATAAAACTGACAATAATGTGTACAAGATGGACGTGGCATTGAGTTTTCCACCGTGGCCGCGTCGCAAAGGGAAAGACTATGAAACATCACAAGCAAGGAGCAGGGGGAGATTTTAAGTATGTGCAGTAACCATAGAAAGAAGAGGACATCCAGGAGTATCTGTGGTTGAAAGTGGATGGACAGGAGAATAAGATGTATCAGAGAAAAGTCTCTGTTCAGTGGTGGGAGACAGAGGAGTGATTAATTAGAGAAAGCAGGTCTGAGGCCAGGCCCTTATAAACCCTCATATACAGATGACTCGATTGTAATGCCAGCTACTTGTTCATGTAAAAAGTATTTCTATTTTTATCTTTTGTTTAAAATGATAATACTAATACTTAAGGATAGAAACATATTCAAATAATGTGAGAATGTGTAAACAAAGAATTCCACCCACTAGAGAAAATCGTTGTTAAGTTTGGAGCCTATCTCGTCAGATTTTCCCTGTGCTCACACGGGTATATATAAACACCATATTTTGGATAAGCATGACTTATGGATTATGATTTAAAAATTTCATTTTAGTTTCCCACAATTTCTTTAAACTTTAGTAAGTGGAGGTATTCTTCCTGTGCTTCTAGATGAAGACCTGACAGATTCCATGGCTTTCTCCTTAATTTTTTTTTTTTGAGATGGAGTCTCGTTCTATCATCCAGGCTGGAGTACAGTGGCGCGATCCTGGCTCACCACAACCTCCACCTCTCGTGTTTAAGTGATTCTCCTGCCTCAGCCTCCTGAGTAGCTGGGATTACAGGCATGTGCCACCATGCCCAGCTAATTTTTGTATTTTTATTTATTTATTTATTTTTTTTTTGAGACGGAGTTTCACTCTTGTTACCCAGGCTGGAGTGCAATGGCGCGATCTCGGCTCACCGCAACCTCCGCCTCCTGGGTTCAAGCAATTCTCCTGCCTCAGCCTCCTGAGTAGCTGGGATTACAGGCACGCGCTACCATGCCCAGCTAATTTTTTGTATTTTTGGTAGAGACAGGGTTTCACCATGTTGACCAGGATGGTCTCGATCTCTTGACCTCGTGATCCACCCGCCTCGGCCTCCCAAAGTGCTGGGATTACAGGCTTGAGCCACCGCGCCCGGCCTAATTTTTGTATTTTTAATAGAGATGGGGTTTCACCACGTTGGGCACGCTGGTCTCGAACTGCTGACCTCAGGTGATCCAGCTGCCTCGGCCTTCCAAAGTGCTGCGACTACAGGTGTGAGCCACTGCACCCAGCCTCTTATTTTTTTGAGAAAGTATCTCAATCTGTCACCCAGGCTGGAGTGTAGTGGCATGATCATAACTCCCAGCTGCCACCTCCCAGGCTCAAGCAATCTTCCCACTTCAGCTCCTCAAGCAGCTCGGATTATAGGCATGTGCCACCATGCCTAACTGTTTGACTTTTTTTTTAAGAGACAGGGTATCACTATGTTTCCCAGGCTGGCCTGGAACTCCTGGGCTCAAGCAATTCTCCTGCCTTGGCTTCCCAAAGTGCTGGGATTACAGGCGTGAGCCACCGTGCCCAGCCTCCACTTGATTCTTAGGTAACAGATCTTCCTACTCTTTCACTGTCACAAACATAGTATCTACTCAATAATTAAAATGCTCAGTCCTGGGTAATAGTCAAAATCCCAAAAGTATTTCCCTTCCCTTCCCCCGGGACAGTTACAGAAAGGGTCGTGTTCTCTCTTTCTCCCTGCTTGAGCTGCCCCCCACTCTCCCTCTCCCCGGGTCTCTTCCTTACCTCCACTCTCTTGCTTCTTTCCCCACTTAACTGCTTCCCTGCTAACCCCTTCCCTTACTCAGTCGCTGTAATTTATTTGTATTTTTACTTTCTTTGGAGACAGAGTCTTGCTCTGTGCCCAAGCAGGAGTGCAGTGGTGTGATCTCGGCTCACTGCAACCTCTGCCTTCTGGGTTCAAGTGATTCTCATGCCTCAGCTTCCCGGGTACTGGGACGACAGGTGTGCACCACCACACCTGGTTAATTTTTTGTAGTTTTAGTAGAGACAGGTTTTGCCATGTTGGTGAGGCTGCTCAAACTCCTGAGCTTAGGCAACCCACCCACCTTGGCCTCCCCAGATGCTGGGATTACAGGCATGAGCCACCGCACCCAGCCCACTCACTGTAGCTTAGTTTCTATCGAACAGCAGTTAGGGATTAGGGACTGTGTGGAGGGAGGAGAGATTAAAAGAAAGGACTGCTTGTGTGGCTGAGTGGCTTCGCATTCTTAGCTTGGCAAAGAGTTAAACTGGACTCGTTTCGGGAACTTTTACTACTTCTGGGAGGCTCCTGCTTCCCCCGCTGTGGTTTCCATGAGCTGGACAGACGTGTCTCTACTTTGGGCATGCATCATACTTGACAAGACCCGGGACCACACTGGCAGACCCACAGGAAGCCCTAATGATACTTGACCCAACAAGCTGGGCAGTACAGACACTTCCCCTGGCTGACCCACAGAGGCCATTTAAGTCATCTCTTCCTGGTCTTGGGCTTTCTGAGCAGGTCAGCTTCAGTTTTCTTAGACATGAGGCCCACGCCAGTCTTCACTGTTCAGCCACAGAAAACGTACCTTGCAGTTGCCGGAGTAGTTTCCTTGAAGCTGGGTAACCTGACAATTACTGTCTTAACTGGGACACTTGACGGTAAACGGCAGTATCATCAGTGATTATGACAGGACCTGCCATGGGACAACTGGAGGGGAGGATTCTGACCAGTCCACGTTGGCTCAACCCACTGTACATGTCCTTCCACCTCCTCCTGCAAAAGCGGGTTAGGAACTCACAACCTGGTTTTCTGCTCTTTACCAGTCTCCTCACAGAAGTCCCTCTCAGATCTCTTTTTCCTTTTTTTTTTTTTTTTTTTCAGACAGAGTCTCACTCTGTTGCCCAGGCTGGAGTGCAGTGGTGTGATCTCAGCTCACTGCAAACTGCTTCCTGGGTTCAGGTGATTCTCCCATCTCAGCTTCCCAAGTATTTGGGACTACAGGTACTTGCCATCACACCCAGCTACTTTTTATACTTTTAGTAGAGACAGGCGGTTTCACAATGTTGGCCAGGCTGGTCTTGAACTCCTGACCTCCAGTGATCCACCTGCCTAAGCCTCCCAAAGTGCTGGGATTGCAGGTGTGAGCCACCACACCTGGCCTCTCTCAGATCTTTCTTACAGCCTTGTTCTTGCTGGCCAAGGCATGAGGTTCATGAGGCCATTTCCTGTGCTCGTGGAGATGCAGGTGAGGGTTGCTGCACCTACTTTGGTACACAGGTATGTTCTGTCATCTCTCTGGGAGGAAAAGTCTCTTCTAAAACACACATATAGATGAGTAACTATGTGTATGTATTTATACATATATAGTTTTAATTTATTTTTAAACCAAAACAGGATAATATATGTAATGCCCACATAACTTTATACTTAAAAATATTCTTTCTTGGCCGGGCGCGGTGGCTCACGCCTGTAATCCCAGCACTTTGGGAGGCCGAGGCGGGTGGATCACGAGGTCAAGAGATCGAGACCATCCTGGTCAACATGGTGAAACCCCGTCTCTACTAAAAATACAAAAAATTAGCTGGGCGTGGTGGCGCGTGCCTGTAATCCCAGCTACTCAGGAGGCTGAGGCAGGAGAATTGCCTGAACCCAGGAGGCGGAGGTTGCGGTGAGCCGAGATCGCGCCATTGCACTCCAGCCTGGGTAACAAGAGCGAAACTCCGTCTCAAAAAAAAATAATAATACAAAAATTAGCTAGGCGTGGTGGCATGCGCCTGTAGTCCCAGCTACTCGGGAGGCTGAGGCAGGAGAATTGCTTGACCCGGAAGGCGGAGGCTGCAGTGAGCCAGATCACATCACTGCACTCCAGCCTAGTGACACAGTGAGACTTTGTCTCAAAGAGAAAAAGCAAAAAAAAAGCAATGTCAGATCATAGGGTTTGCACATTACACATTTTGATAAATTCTGTCAAATTGTTCTCTTAAAAGGCTCTATCGGCCGGGCGCGGTGGCTCACGCCTGTAATCCCAGCACTTTGGGAGGCCGAGGTGGGTGGATCATGAGGTCGAGAGATCAAGACCATCCTGGTCAACATGGTGAAACCCCGTCTCTACTAAAAATACAAAAAACAAGCTGGGCGTGGTGGTGCGTGCCTGTAATCCCAGCTACTCAGGAGGCTGAGGCAGGAGAATTGCCTGAACCCAGGAGGCGGAGGTTGCGGTGAGCCGAGATCGCGCCATTGCACTCCAGCCTGGGTAACAAGAGCGAAACTCCGTCTCAAAAAAAAAAAAAAAAAAAGGCTCTACCACGGCTGAGCATTGTGGCTCACACCTGTAATCCTACCATTTTGGGAGGCCAAAGTAGGCAGATTGCTTGAGCTCAGGAATTTGAGACCAACCTGGGAAACACAGCAAAATTCTGCATGGTGGCTCGTGCCTGTAATCCCAGCACTTTGGGAGGCCGAGACAGGCAGATCACGAGGTCAGAAGATTGAGACTATCCTGGCTAACACGGCGAAAACCTGTCTGTACTAAAAATACAAAAAAAATTAGCCAGGTGTGGTGGCAAGTGCCTGTAGTCACAGCTATTTGGGAGGCTGAGGAAGGAGAATTGCTTGAACCCAGGAGGTCGAGGTTGTAGTGAGCCAAGATCACGCCACTGTACTCCAGCCTGATCGATAGAGTGAGACTCTGTCTCCAAACAAACAAAAAACTTAGCCAGGTGTGGTGGCATGTGCTTGCAGGTCTAGCTATTAGGGAGGCTGAGGTGGGAAGACCATCTGAACCCGGGGAAGGTGGGGCTGCAGTGAGCCATGATTATTCCACTGCACCCAAGTCTGGGTGAGCAAACGCGTGGTGGCACATGTCTGTAATCCCACTGCA